GAAACATTTTATGGCATCTTTATTCTCATACAAATACAAATTAAATTTTATTTTACACAAGAGAAAATATCTTTGTTAGAAATAATTATTAATTTCAAGAGCCGATGAAAGAATATAATATTTAGAAATCGCATGTAATATAAATGTATATACATTAAACATTTAAAATTGATTCAACGCTTTTATCGAACGAAAAAATATGATTTCGAAAACTTGCTCAGAATATTTATGAAAATGTCCATTCTTATTCTATAATGAAGCGATCTGAAAGTGATTTGAATAAATATCTACATATATTTCTCGTTGAGTATTCGAATCTATCTTACGTATTTTTTAAGTTTATTTTCTTGGAAATAAAATTGCATGTCCGTAAAAAAAAAAAAAACGCTCGCATAGTCAAACTTTTCATTCTCCGCAAATATCGATCATCTCGAAGTGCAGGATCTCGATACGACGGAGTCGATCAACTCGATAGGATTATTGCAGCGTCACAAATAGTGAAAACATGTGTCTCTTGTGTTGTGCGATCGGGATCACGTACGTGCTAATCTGCAGTCATATACGATGTAACAGAGATTTGCGTGACCATGAACAAAGACCACCCTTGATCCTGGGAAACGTCGCGCGATTGTCACGAATTAGCGCTGTTATCCGTGCACGCGGAACGTGCAACCATTTTACGCGACGTGATTTATCCGTGGTCTCTGAATCGTTTTGATTTTGGTTTGCCGAATGTCGGTCAGTCCGACTTCATGCCGGCACTGCGACGAATCGCAAATTTGATTTGCGTTCATGCTCGCGCGCGCTTCAACCTGGCGGGTTTTCAATCTGACTATCTGTTCAGAGTTCGTCATTCATTTTAATAAAACAGATTTCACAGTTCGTTAAAATGGATACAGAACAATTTGTGAACGCAGCGTATTTAATTTTTATTTGCAGTAAAAGCAAGTGAAATTAAGGCTTGATACAATTTATTTTTCACGTTCTTTAATGTTAATTAATATATGGAAATAATAAATCTGGGTGCAATATGTTGCAATTGCTGCCTTGTTTGTCGTTGATATAAATAAAGTTTTTTATGCTTTAGTTAAAATGTGTGGATGTTAAAACAGCTTTCGAAATTCAGCTCTTGTGCAACTTTAGCTTGTATATTTAAATGGCCAACTTTGCAAATATTTGATGTAAATATTGCTGATGTAGCATTCAGGTGACAACGCTATAATTACGATCAAGATATATATATATATATATATATATATATATAAAATTTTAATATTGATTATAGAACCAATTACTCATTTCTTTCTCTATTATGTAACTGATTGATCATCGTATTGCATCAGTTGGAAGCTGTATCATGACCGATCAGTTATGTCATTTCGTCGACGACGATGCATCAGTTATCGTTTTCGCATCGATTTCTCCAAGCAGCATTTACTTGCTTTTAAACACTTAATCACAGTTTTACTCATGTTACGGCGACAATCCAATTACAATCCATCGCACGTGTAAAAAGAATCTCGCTGAGAATGCGCATCAGACGAATACTTACGAGCATACGTGCTCGAATAAATATTTTGTAGTTGATGCAATTAAAGTACGTCCTCTTTATTCGTTCTAATAGCAAACATTTAAATATAGAAGACGTCGCGTCGAGCACATTTTAAAAGTGCATAATTATTTATCGTATAAAATAGAATTGCACATTGTATTAGCAAAGCTAACTTTACACTATAATACGCTATAAGAAAAAGCTTAGTCATTAAATAAAAAAATTTTTGTTAAATTTATACATTTCCTTTTTTTATGCAAACTTTTTTTGTTATGGTACAAAATTTCTAAATTGACAAAATATTATCTTTATGTGCAGGAAACCTGAAAAATGAAGGAAGAGGTGGACGAAGATGATTCTGGCATCTCTTCAGGTGCATCTGTTCCTGAAAGCACTGTTTCATATGGGTAAGTCAATTATTATGTTTTATTAAATTATGATACGAATGATTTCTTCGCCACTCGCCACGATAACGACGCAATGATTCGAGATACATGATGATGTATCAATAAGGATATTTTTTAAATATAATTTTTTCTGGAATTTCTTATACATAAATTAAAAGTTCTTTTTATTGATTGTCAATTGCGAAATAATATTTACATCGTAAATCACATAAATTTATATGCACATAATATTAATGTTATAATTGAAATATTTTATGTAAGGAGAAAATATTGATTTTCTATATTACTCTTTAATCACTTTCTTATTAAATTCGCGAGATATAAGAAAAAAAGGATAGATAAAATAATTACATATGATTGATTAGGTCTAAAGTAGAGATGAAATTAAAAATTTGAAGATTTAAGTTAGCTGTTCAATCAATTACTATTAGCTTATCTAAAAGAAATGCACAGATAAATCTTTAATTTAATAGATCGACGATTATGCATGAAGCGGTGTAACTTGAAAACATACGTGAAAAACTATTTTCACGGTGTAAAACTTATTTATTCCAAATATTTGCATAAAGTACAGATCACTGTTAATTCTATAGTTTCTTACATGATAATCTAACATTCTTCCACGATTGTGTTTAGTTAATTAATCAACCGTAAGTATTGCACATTCATCTAATCGAAATTACCAGCTCGCTAGCGTTACAGCATGGTTGAGCAAAAAAGTTTTGCTCTTCGAGTTGTTTGACAGCATCGATCATGTCAAAGCTTACGTACCTATATATAGTTCATATTTGCTGAATGCAACTTCAACAAAAACCATGAAAAAAATGTCCCCTTTTGATGTACCGTTTTGTTATCAATCTTTGAAGCAAAAACATTGCAAAATCTGAGATAATTGCTAAAATAAATACTGAGAGATTTTATGGTTATTTGATAAATTTTTGGATGTTTAGAAAATTCTTTTTTTTCAATAGAGATACTAATAGTAAAAATTTGTTTACGATTATAGAAAAATTATCTCTCTGATGTGCTTCTAATTGATTTTTTATTTTATTTTAAAATAATACATACATATACATATGAATACAAAAATTGTATATTTTTTATACAGCGTATTCTAACATGTATATTGTTGCGTCCTCGGGACGCCTCTCGCTCAGTCACTCACACACAGTCACTCTCACTCGCGCGCGAAATAAAGACACTCGCATAATAGGGAAATGAACTTTAATATGAGGAACCAATACACGAAACCAATGAAATATAACAAATAGTGCATTCGTAATGCAAAGAAGCTCCGGTCTCGGAAAACGTCCGCACGATGCGACCGCTAGACCAAAACTGTCATGTCTCCCGAAAACAGAAGAAGACCCTTAGTTGTTTAACAACAACTCCCTTGACGACGATCTCCCGGAAGCGTAAAGAGTTGATCCCGCGAAAAGTATCACCCGATACAAAGATGTAGATCCAGGGGCGTAACACGGGGGCGCAACAATATGATGATATGGAAATCAAAGTAATTCTTGTTTAATATATTTTTAATAATCTGATTGACTGCATCTGCACATATTTCAAAATTTGCCTTAAAAACACGTATTTTAATTATTCAAACTCTAAACTATAAAATAATGGAATTACAAAGTGAAATGAATGCGATGAATAAATAATGCCAATTTTTTTACTACAGTTATTTTACTGTAGTCTGCATACAAAATCACACAATACATCGAAATCGCAGACTATATCTCTTGTTTACGAACAAATATAAGAAAGTAACTCGCTATACCTTACGCACATAATTTCTGAATATATTACACAATACTGCATTAAATGAATATTTACTTTGGATGATAAGAAAAGCAAAATTGGACATTGCCATAAAGATACAAACTATTATATTTGATATTCCCAGCGACAAATACGAAATATCACACGAGATGAAGCTTTGTCAGATATATTACGACGTACGCGGTTAGCTCGATTATCGCTTCGAGGGTTACAGCGAATTTTATTTGCATTTTGTTTGAAATACGAGATACAGAGAAAGATCGCGCAAAATATTCGATTAAAAAACAACTGCAAATATCGGATCGTCGCATCGGACATATCGGTTACCAGAAAATTCGATGTATCGCTTTTGGTTTACTTTTCGGAGCAAAAAATCATCGGTATTCTCTGCATATAATATTTGTGAAAATTTAACAAACTGCGCAGTTTTTTTTAACATCGGTCTCTCAATATAGTTATTTCCTGACTTATGCGATTCTGGTTTTATCATATTAAATAATCTTTAAAAAATTCCGATGTGCTTTTAGTATTTTCTCATATACATGATTTATATTATATACCCATACATGTATATTGTAAGAATGTCACGAAAAAATCTTACGATGGCTCATTCGAAAGACTGCTTGTCATCAAAAACAAATTTTGCTAATAATAAAATTTTTTTATGACGAATGGTGGGTAAAAATAAAATCGTATTTTTATTCCATCGTTAAATTATAAAATGTACGCACTTTAATATATACATTTGAGAAAACAGGGATATGAAATATCAATTATTGTATTAATTATTGTATAAAAATAATAACTAACATTGAATATACTTTAATTGTTCAAAGTTAATTATTCTCGTATAAATATACGTAAACAGTAAAAAAGTCTCATATTAACTGGAGAAACATTTATATTCCTATATTTTCTCGTCTAAAATATATTATATATAGGTATAAAAAAAATGACGCTCACAGTGTGTGTGAGATTGAAAAAGCGCATTACGCACATTTAAATAAAGATTCGCAAGGTAAAGAAGGTGCGAGTATCGATTTCATATACGAGTTTTGATATTCCCTTCAGAAGCCGGCCGGTATGAATGCGGCTTAATAATGTGTCGTTATCACGCCAAGCGAATTGACGACGCGGGGGTAAGAGGCAAAGGGAAGCCGACGAGGGGAACGACGATTGGTTGTCTCAGAAAGAGGGGAAACGCTGATTGTTCGACGGGAGAGGGGATACGGCTAGTCCAGCAGTTGGCATCCGACTGTCGTGAGTTGCGGGTATACATCTTTCTCTCCCATTCACTCGTTATCTTTCCCTCTCGTTCCCTTTCCATTCGATTACCTGGTCCTTCCCTCCCTCCCCGCGCGTTCGTGTTTTGGACAGCAGGTAGGGTCGCGTGTTGATTTCGCCCGCTGACAGTTTTACAGGTACTCGCGTCCGAGGTGGACCGACGACGTCGTCGTGTCGTGTCGTGTCGTCGTCGTCATCGTTGCGTCGCGGCGCGTCGCAGTTTCTTGCGCAACAAGAAAAACGTGGTCTCTCCTCGCCAGCAACTAGCGCGCGCGACCGGCAAAAATTGGACGCGACGTCAAACGTCAGAAGGAAAAGGCGGGAGGTGGTTCTTCGCCGATTGTGTGAAAACGTTCGCGTTTGTGTCCGCGCACGTAGCAACAATTCGCCTAATGAATAAAGATCATCGCGTTCCAAGTAAATTATCGCTCCATAACATACGGCGATTGCATTCGGGATACTGTGTCAAGGTCACCGGCAGCAAGTTCGCGCCTCGTGTCACAGCGCTCTCTTGCATAGCGCATTTCTCTGCGCAATAGCCTTGGCAGAGGGAGAGAGACAAAAATATTGCGTCTAAGTGTCGCTGTCATATCAAGAAACTCGTAACTCCGTAATCACGACTGGCCTCTTGTCGGGGTTTGTTTACTTTAAGAATTCTTATACCGATTTGCGACACAGTGTCAAGGCCGCTGTCAACTTTCGGCGAACAGTTTACGAAAGCTGCGGATGTAATCTATCATGACGGCAATTAAGAATTATCATCGAAATAACTCCAAAATCGGTGAAGATCGATCGAGATCGCATCGAAAATGCACCGAAGCACCTAATCTAAACTTACTTCGCGAGTTTTGGTGAATTAGTGCTTGTAAATGAAATTGACAGGAAATAGGATTTTTAAAAGACACTGTGCGTCGATAGGATACACATATAGGCATCTCTCTACGGGATAATATACTATTCCCGAAGGAATGACGAGAAGATTCGGCGCCGGTACGCTTCGCTGACCGGTCGATGAAGCTCGACGAAATTCGCGAAACGTTTAGCAGCTAGATAGAGACGACTTTATTATCATCATCGCGCATGAAAGTTCATCAAATGACCGCGCTTAATCGCCGGCAATCGGCTAATTTTAATTCGCCCGGCAAATAAGCTGTCGCGATAACAAGTTGTGATCATCGACTATATAATGCATTGACGCGATGACGATGATGTGTCTGGAGACGAGGCTACCGATCTTTAATGATCCGGCAAACAACATTGAAACACCTGCTGCAAATTGCGATCAACGTTTATCAGTACTGACGAGTGCCAAATAAAAATACACAAAGACAACGCGCACGGGTAGTGTGCTTAAATAACAGTTATCGTATACTGTAACGTTTTTAAACTGTATTGTGATAATATCGAGAGGCCTCAAAAGAGCAGATTAAAAAGTCCGATTCTTTTCGATACAATGACCAACGACGGCGAGCGAATATACTTTTATCCAAGTAGACGGATGAAAGAACTCTCCGAGAAGAGAGAACGTATATTTGTATATCTCAATAGCAAAGTGCGTCCTTTGTGAAGTACCAGCATGTGCAACAGCAGCAACAACAGTACTTGAGGAATTTGCCCTCGCAACATTCACAACAGACTCTCCATCCGGGGATCATAGACACGGATGACCGCGCGCATCAATCGCATCACCAGCATCATCATCAGCATCATCAGCATCATCGCGCCACCATTATGAATCTGCCGGTACAAGGTCAGGCTCGTTTTCTTATTACGAGATAAGTCGCGGGGCGTATCAAGGTGAACGGATATGCGTGCACGCGAGAGTGATAGGGATCACGTCTCGGATATGATAATAAATTTCGTTAATTCTCAACGCGAATATGGGGTGGGATTCGATCATATTTTAGTTAATTATCATTTCCATAATATATTTCAATAATGTCAATTAAAAGTTGATTTATTCTCGCAAAATATAACGATTAATTATAATTTATTATTTTTTTGTTAAACACATAATAACAAATAATATAATTTTATTGGTACTACTACATCTTATAACTTTTTGCATTATATATATATATATTTAGCAAATGATAATGAGCTTTTTTATATTGACTTCACGATGCCACTTATGTTCTATGAATCGTATTCAGAAGAATATTTTAGAATTCCGAATCGTTAATTTAATGATACAATCTTTGATTAATTTGAATTCAGTCTTTTCTCATAAATTATTATCTGTTGCAAATCTTGGTAAGTAATGTTATTCTTTTACAATTCAGATTTTAATAAAAATATTAAAAATTGTATATAATTTTTATTATAATTATAAGAACTTTTACTTTTCTTCGAAGTATATAAAAATGTGACATATATTTCATTTAAAATTTAAAAATAATCTTTTTTCATTGTAATAGATTTTATTTACTCATCGTATTATATAACAATTTCAATAGTAAATTTTTATTTTATACTCTTGTCTACAATTGTAGCAATTTTAATTAATATTTTTAATTAATCACTCTTACTTTTAATTGTGTAAAAATAACTAACCACAAATGTAATACTATATTATTAAAAAACGTAAAATTTATCAATATAAGTTATTTTAAATTCAATATGATATTATACCTAATCCCCAATGAAATAATATTTTTAATAAATATATGGCAATATCAGTTAATATCTTAAAACGATCTCAATTCTGTTCTGTATTTTTTCTTATCATAAAAATAGTATAAAAGAAAATAGTGAAGATAAATTATATCTATCGATTTTTTAAACATCTTTTTAATCAGACAACTAGTTGAATGTTGCATATTATAGCATGAAAGATGTAAATTATCAATTATTGCAAATTGCAGTTACGTTTGAATAAAGATGCGATAAGTTTTGTATGTCAGCATAAAATAATTTTTAGACGGTTTGAATGAAAATGATAAATAACATTTAACAAATACAACGAAATGCAACATAAGATATATATATATATATATATATATATATATAGTGTTCAATATATCATATATACATTGTAGCGTTTAAGCTATCGTGCCATCATCAAAATAATTAGTTATAGCTAAATAAATATGCATTTATAAATAAATTTATTTTTATTTTGCACAGCATCGTTAATATATACTTGAGTAGATCGAAAAACAATCTTATGTGTCATTAGCATACATAAATCATGTCGCTTTAGTATCAAGTAAAAAACGATGTATAAAAATATAATGCAGATATACAAATATATATATGTGTATATGTACAAAATATTGCTAATTTTATATTCTCATGCCAGCAAGTTAGGATCATCACATTGCAACATTCAATATTTTGTCTGCCCCCCCCCCCCCCTCTTTTTTTTCCCCAATTTTATTCTTTTTCTTTTTGTGTCCCAAATCTATAATCTTGTTGATAAATTTATAATAAGAAAACATAATTGAAGTATTTTTATTCGGGAAGATTGTGATAATATATAAATAAAATGTTGCTTATACAGCATGAAATTAAATTCAAAAATAAAATTAATATATAATTTATATATAAACTTTTCCGTTCCAATGTTTAAATATGGGATTTATATTTAATATAGTAATTTATAATATAAAATTATTATAGAAAAAATATTAAAATATTTCTATTTATATAAAGACCATTGTTAAGTATATTAATAGTGATTTGACTTACAAATATATGACAACATTATTGCGTATGTGTTATGGCTATCTTAGCAAGCGATAACTGTGCACAAATAGCTTTGAAAAAGTATGAGGATCAACACGTGTGACACGTGATGATAATGCTGACTACTATAGAAATAAACGATTATTAAAAACGAGACTACGTGGTTAATGTGCGAAGGTAAGGATTTTATTGTTTTGAAGAGCACTGTCTAAAATGTCTGCAATTAAACTTTTTTTTTGTTTTAATCTTTATCTGCAATCTAAAAAATACAGAACTTAATTTTTTTATGTAATAAAAAAATTTTTTACATTATAAAAGAATTCGAAAATTTTTATATCAAAACTATCGTGACTGTATTTATATTAGTTGCAAAGTTTGCTTATTGATAGAAAAACGAAAAAACGAAGTAATTCAATATGGAGTTAAGGATTTTTTGTCACCGAGACTGTTTAAAGTAATTGCAATTAACCTTTTTTTTTCAATTTTGTAAATATGGGATTTATATTGATGAATAATTTATATCAATGTTATAGAAAAATTCTAAAACTTCTATTATAAAGACCATCACTAATCTATCTCTAACAATGTAAAAATTCTGAAAAAATTAACACAAGTAATTGCATTACATTATCAAAAAATTGCAAACTACTGCCATTAATTTTTGCAACATATGCTTTATAATATATTTAATTTAAATATATACACAAATTAAACATATATACATATATTTATTGCTACTTGTGCGTTTGCATATTCGCAAAATTTATGCGCATTGAGGAAAATAATTTAAAAAGAAAATTTTCAACAAGCAGCGATGAGCAGTCGTTTTTATTATGTTAATTTTTAATTTTAACAAATCTGAATTTGTTGTGTAAATCAAAAATTGCGGAGTGATCAAACGATTCAATTTATTAATAGATGTTAAATTATACAAAATATACAAAATTCGATGTGTGTGTCGTCATATGCTAAATATACATTCGATATTTGAATCAGACAACATAAGAATGCGCTTATTAAACTTGTTTAAAAATTCTAATAAACACATGCACAGATTTATAAAGATTACATATAAAACTGTTCAATTTACTTATGATTTTTTTTATAAACATTTTTGCGCGCATTGATTCAGACACATCAGACAATAGACACATCATAAAATCGATACATCATTATAACGACACATATATCTAGACAATCGATGAGCTTTCTGATCATCCGCTCTCATATAGTAATTCATGAGCAGGCGTGTTAGAGCACACCTCATGGAAGTCTAACGAGCGATCTTACTTTCTCGATTGTCAAATGAGCCGAGCGATTCATCGCATGAAGACGGAGACGCGACGTGATTCTGGATAATTCTGTATCCGCGACTTGATTTGCATGGCGAATTCAACTCGACGACCTTTATAAGGAACGACATAATAATAACGTTAATGATAGCAGTCTGGCTGGCTCGTTTGCATGCTCTCGAGAACGTCGCGATGAAGAATCAAAAGAGCAAAGGGTAGTCGTATTAGTATAATATCTGATAAGATGTATCGGGGATTTATTCAATAATTGCTCGTTATATGTATATTCCGAGAATGAATCTAGTAGGAACTGATTAGGTCTCAAGATACAGGGAAGACAATAGTGATTGATTACGAAATGGCGTAATTCGACGATTAACCATCAGAAATGCCGCAAAAACCAGAACAAATTAAAATAAATTTTGCAACACAGTTGAGATATCTCGAAAAACCTGTAATTTTGCATTTTGATTTGATTACTAATTAATAAAATCGAAGACATATTTTGGATGATAAATCTAAAGGTTTCGTCTACTTAATAAAACTAATTTATTACGAATTAAAATGTTTATCTTAATTTTGACAATATAATTAATTTTTTGAAATCTGTCCGCTTGCTTCCGTCATTGACTTTCATACAAATATTTATCATTTCTTTTTTACAAACTTTAAAGTTGCCAATAAAAAACAATTCGCGTTACTTATCTGAATTTATGTCACCGATCGCTATTCGTGACATACATTTGTGGCGGATATTTGCAAATCGTAGTTTGGTTTGTAAATCTATCTCTCTTTCCGACGCCATTCGTATACATCGAAAATAATTTCTTGCAATGTTTATGTATGATTGCCTGCCTGTGCCTTGCTCGTTTCACCTATCGATCTCCTGAAATCGATTTAAATAATAAATATAAAACACTGTTGCATACTCCACCATTCGTTGCTTTGTATATTCGCTATCGATATATTAAAATCATTGTAACAAGTGCAACTTGTTATCATACATCAGTATTTTATGACTATGACTATATTGAGCTGGCATTACCATTTTACACACAACCGAATAAATATATACAATACATAAATTTAGTACTTTTATTGCTAATTTATTGCTCTAATATTGGAAAATTTTTATATTATAAGTGATAATGTTATATGTTGGTATCGATAATATAAAATTAGAAATTAAGTAATAAATTAGCAACAAAACAGCACTTTTTATAGTTTTATTCAGTTGTGGTTATATAAAATGGCTGTGCCAACGTAATAGACATTATTTATATTTGCAAAATATAATTAGTCAAATCTGAATTTTTTATTTCAAGATAAATTCAATTATTCGACAAGTTTGCATTAAATTAGTTATTAACAACATAGTTGTTTTAATTTAAAAGAATAAAGATTTATATTTTGTTTCGAAGTTTTTCGGTTTGGAATTGGATTCGACGCTTGAAATCAGATGTTAAACACTTAAAAAACATTTAAATATTTATCTATTTCGCGCGTGTTTTTAATAACCGACAATTGTTTTTCATATTTTACAAGACACCGCAGCTTTGAAATGCATTTAACTTATAATCAGTAGACAAGCTGGCTATTCGTTTTCGCTCTGTCTCTGGCACATTCGGTGCAAGACTACGCATATTTATTTCTTTGCTTGTTATATAACAGTTACATCGGCGCAAGAGGTATAAGTATCCGCTAGAAGTGCTAAGTATCCACTTTAGTTGTCTCACGTCGCTAACATCAAGAGATCATATTAACTCTTTGG